GGAGGAGAGAGGGGGGGGGGGGGGAGGGGGGGGGGGGGAGAGGGGGAGAGGGGGAGGGGGGGGGGGGGGAGGAGGAGAGGGGGGGAGGGGAGGGGGAGGTTCTGGTTTTCCTGCCAAGTTTGTTCCCTCCTGCCAAACCTGAGCAGAGACACTGCAGGAAAGTCAGACAGCTGTTAGTGATATCACAGAGTTCTAACAAAACAAATAAAGTTTGCTTCATTTGAATCACAAAACAATCAGCACTTCTTTTTTCTACTGCTAAGATTTTTATTTTGTTGGAAAGGGACTAAAAAACTAAAGATTTTTCCTCCTGCATATTTGTTGAAACAGATTTTATGGCGAACGTTCTGCCTCAGACTCAGTCTGTTCCAGCTTGTTCTGAGCAGAAAGAACCAGAATTAACTTTCACTCCCTGACACGGAACGTTTGGCGTGTGGCGCCCAGCTCAGCCGTTACACCGCGTAACGATCTCTGCATCTTCCACCTGTCACGGGAGAATAACTGCTGCTGCTCAGGTGAGCGGCAGCCAATCAGGCGCCTGCATGAGCGCGATGTCATCAGTTGTGGTGAATCCACTGGACTGAGAACAAGAGACTTCGTTCGCTCAGACGAAGATCTGAGACACTTTGAGACACGAGATCTTTAAGTGATGACTTAATGTTAAACAGATGATCAGACCTCCTCCTCTCCTCTCTCCTCCTCCTCTCTCCTCTCTCCTCTCTCTTCTCTCCTCCTCTCTCCTCTCTCCTCTCTCTTCTCTCCTCCTCTCTCTTCTCCTCCTCTCTCCTCTCTCCTCTCTCTTCTCTCCTCCTCTCTCCTCTCCTCCCCTCCTCTCTCCTCTCCCCTCCTCTCTCCTCCTCCTTCCTGTCTGGATTCTCTCCGTCTTTGTAATAAAACCTCTTTTGTTTCTCCAGCAGCAGCTGGATGGGGAACAATAGAGTTCATGAGTCTGGTTTCTATTTTCTGCTCACAACAGGGGAAAAGGCCTCATAGTGACATCATCAGTGATGTCAGCGGCGACCAAATATGGACGTTTCAGTGATCAGTCAGTTCCCAGCAGTCTGTGGCAGCTGGGAACTGTGGGAGCGCTGGGAGGTGGATCAGATCAGGATCGAAGCCGACGGGCAGCGCTGAGGACGCAGAAAAAGTACAAGCAGATACTTACCCATCATGCAGTTCCATCAGGGAGCCATCTGATTGGCCCTGAATTTATTCTGCAGTTGCTCAGCGCCGGTCAGGTACGCACGCTGCGTACTTAGTTTAGTTTGTAAAGTACTGAAGCCGTCAGATAAACGTTTCAGTACAAGTTAAAGTACTTTGACGTTTTGTGACAGAAACGTTTCTTCCAAATAGAAACGTGAAGCTGACGACACGTTTTGCTGAGTACTTCTCCGGTGGTTCTGCATGTACTGCTGCTAATACTCTTATTGTTTGAAGTGTCGCCTTCCTGCAGCTGAAGCCTCCACTTCCTCACAGCTGGACAGCCGTTAGCCTCCATTAGCATGCCTCTGACTAGCATTAGCATAGTCAGCGACTGTGAGAGTGTGAACAGCAGGACGGCGTTTGGCTCAAAGGGAGGACGTTATCAGCCATCATGGTTTCAGGCTGAGCTCCTCCTGCCTGAAACCCTAATCTGCAAATCGCTGCTGACTCAGACACTGAAAACCTCCAAATCTCTGATAATTACAGTCCTGAACCCCGCCGACCTGATCTCCTGCTGATCTCCTGCTGATCTCCTGCTGATCTCCTGCTGATCTCCTGCTGATCTGACACCAGCTCTAATCCACATGTTCATCACACATCAGCCAAACATCCAGCCTGAAACTCAAGTGGCTGTTTGGCTTTAATCTGGTGTAATCCAGCTCTCATGCCGGATTACAGCCTGCTGTCCTCACGTCTGTCAGCTCATCTGAATGTTAAATCAAAAAGATAAAATAAACCTTATTGATCCCGATGCAGGGAAACGTTTCAGGTAGAAAATCAGTATCATGTCTTTGTGTCCAGCGTGTTAGCGCATTAGCCTAGCTTAGCACAAAGACTGGAAGCAGGGTGAAACCGTTAGCCTAGCTTAGCACAAAGACTGGAAGCAGGGGGAAACTGTTAGCCTAGCTTAGCACAAAGACTGGAAGCAGGATGAAACTGTTAGCCTAGCCTAAGCACAAAGACTGGAAGCAGGATGAAACTGTTAGCCTAGCTTAGCACAAAGACTGGAAGCAGGGTGAAACTGTTAGCCTAGCCTAAGCACAAAGACTGGAAGCAGGGGGAAACTGTTAGCCTAGCTTAGCACAAAGACTGGAAGCAGGATGAAACTGTTAGCCTAGCCTAAGCACAAAGACTGGAAGCAGGATGAAACTGTTAGCCTAGCTTAGCACAAAGACTGGAAGCAGGGTGAAACTGTTAGCCTAGCCTAAGCACAAAGACTGGAAGCAGGGGGAAACTGTTAGCCTAGCCTAAGCACAAAGACTGGAAGCAGGATGAAACTGTTAGCCTAGCTTAGCACAAAGACTGGAAGCAGGGTGAAACTGTTAGCCTAGCCTAAGCACAAAGACTGGAAGCAGGGGGAAACTGTTAGCCTAGCCTAAGCACAAAGACTGGAAGCAGGATGAAACTGTTAGCCTAGCTTAGCACAAAGACTGGAAGCAGGGGGAAACTGTTAGCCTAGCTTAGCACAAAGTATGGAAGCAGGGGGAAACTGTTAGCCTAGCCTAAGCACAAAGACTGGAAGCAGGGGGAAACTGTTAGCCTAGCTTAGCACAAAGTATGGAAGCAGGGGGAAACTGTAAGCCTAGCTTAGCACAAAGTATGGAAGCAGGGGGAAACTGTTAGCCTAGCTTAGCACAAAGTATGGAAGCAGGGGGAAATTTGAAATGTTTTTACATTAAAAAAACCATCAAAGTTGTTGCTGGTTAATTTCACAGTCAGTCTAATGATCCTGTCAGCTGGACAAACTGTTGGAGTTTAATTTATAACTAAACATCATATTTTATAAAGTCTTCATGTGTTTGTGTGTAAAAATCTGACTTTGAAAAGTAACTGAAGCTGCCAGATAAATGTAGTAAAAAGTACAACATCTGCCTCTGAGATGGAGCAGAAGGAGAAAGTACCTCTAGTTTGCACTTGAGTAATTAGCGTCCACCACAGGAAGCACTGACAGCTTTACGTTGTTTTTTTAACATAATAAAAGACCTAAAGCTTCTGCTGTGATGCATCGTGGGAAACAGGCTGAGAGAAGATGATCAGATTAAAGATCCTTCATGTTCAGACACGAAGCTGACGGAGGATCCCCCCCCCCCAGGGATGAACCACAGCAGTGTGTGAACGTCCTGTACAAACCAGCAGAAACCATCTGGAGACCCGTTTCCTCTCCACACAATACCACAGAGGAAGAGAGAGGGCGAGAGTGAGAGAAGACAAAGGAGGAAAACCAGAGACACAGAAACTACAGAGTCTCTGTTGAGCCATCTAAACTTATATTATTATTATTATCATCATGGTGACAGATTAGAGACTTAAGATGTGAAACAGTTAACAGAAAAAGAAGAAAAAGGGAAACTCAAGCTACACTTTTTTATTTTTTTAAATAAACTTTATTTTGAGATGCACAGTTTTCTTCTTGTGTGTTTTGTTTTTAAACGCAGCCTTTATTTGACTTAAACTGAGGCTTTTTTATTAGTTATTAATTATAATTCTTCCAGTTAAATGTGAAAACTGACTGAAAATATTGTTGAAATATAACTGAATTGTACTTTTATTTGATTTGACAGCTTTGCTTGAGGAAAAGTTTTCTGACTGAACCTCTCTGTCGCTCCTAGAAGCTAACAGGAAGAGAAGCTAACTGTTAGCTTAGCGCAGACACCTGAACAGGTGAGGAAACTAACAGGAAGTGCTGCAGCGATCCGTCCTGACCCTCGGTGGGAGGACTGATCTCTGTCCTGAATCTGAAACTAAATTTAAACCGAAGGACAGCGAAAGGTCACCGTGCTGAAATCCTTCCCATCATGCATCTCCCAGCTGATTAGAGCCGTCCTCGGGGGGTCGCTGCCTTGCTGCAGGGCACGCTGGGAAAGTCGTGGTGTTCTCATGGTTTTCTATAATTAACTGTGACAGCGGGGACGTTTAATGTTCCTGAACGCTGCTCGGGCCGCGTGAGTGTGTCGAGCTGCACGCCGTCATGTGACCAGAAGGCTAACTGCTGTTAGGTCGCCCCCACTTTACGGTCTGATCTGTAAATACGAGCAGCTGCTCAGAAAAAGAGTTTCAGTCACGATCCAGTGGTTTAGACTTCCTAAGAAGGTTCAGAAGCCCGTCAGGTCTTCAGGGTCTAACAGCTACTGGGAAGCCAAAGAGACACAAACCTGGTTTTTGTTGCTCTGAACGGATGCAACAGTGTGAACACGTGGACTTTGAGCCACTTTCATATGTGGTCCAGATCAGATCCAGGGGCCTGAACCACGAAGCGAGTTCAACATATCCAGGATCTCTTTCAGTCATCTGGCTTCACTCACCCCAACAATCGCGGTCGGGATGAGCGGGACCACGAAGCTGGTTATGAACTCGGTAACTCAAGCCGGGGTTTCCGGATCCAGCCGGGAGTGCGTTCGCATAGAAGAGGCGGAGTCAGCAGCAGATGACCAATCGCAGACATGAACAAGTCATATTTTACAGACGAAGAGCAAACTGTGATATTACAGAAATGCGACGTAGGCCTCTGAGTAGCACGGCTGCAGCTGACACACGCGGGGGACAGAAAATATCTGTTATAATATCTGTCATGTCTTTCAGCTCGGCCGTGGCGGCGTTCCCACATTAAAAGACTCGGGCGCTGAAGAAGTGGTCGTTCCTCCTCACTTTAAAACTGAGATACATTCCAAACATTGTTCTACATTAACTTCAGAAAGCAACGAAACCAAAACGTCGAGCTCAGATAGTTTCTGAAAGACTGAACTGAACATTCAGGCTGCTGGAAACTCCTCAGGAGGTGAGCAGTCTCTGTGGAAGGA